CTAGAGGATCGAAATAGTGCCGCGAACACATTCCTCAAGAGGCGTTTAACTTTTCCTTGTTAACATGCATTGCTATCCCTGCACCTAACAATTTAGGGATTCAAAGGGAATGAGGCGTAGCAGAACGCGGCCCTGGTGGTGGATGGTTGTTGTTTTCTGTGTATAGTGTGCGAGTGTAGGTGTGTGTAAGAATAAACCCTCGTTTGAAGTCCTTCCTTTGCATATATGATTTATAATTATATAAAATTACAAAGAAATGATATTTTGTGTTTATAAGGATCTTTTTAATACAGAGGGGGCAGTGCCGAACGAGATGCTGGGAGGGGGGGTGTTGCTGGTGGGGTTGGCGTAGGATAAGGCTGCGTCGGCGGCAGGTTTTGTGTGTATTTCTTTCATTGTATGTGTATGATAGTATTAAAAAGTGAAATGAATGTGTTTTAAAGAGTAAAAAAAAAAAGAAGAGCTCAGAAAAATCTCTATGTAGGGGCGCACACCGCGCGCCGCCGGTTGCCAGACACGCGTGTGTACATACACTCCAGGCAATGTGCAGGCGATGATGCATAAGAGTGTGTGTGTTCTGTGTTCCTTCTTGACTTAAACAAGTCCTTCTTTTTGTTTAATTTGTTATTTTAATGAATTTTATGAATTAAACATTTATCTCGCGTATGCTGAGCCCTCGTTTCTCTGTGTTTTTATACACCTCTCATACCCCGCCACTTTTTCTGCTTTCTTTGCAGCTGCGATGACACCTGAATCTTTCTTGCCTCTTCTCCATTTATTTCTTCGGTTTTTGGCCGTCTAGAATATCCTGAATTGTCTATTTTTGTCTTCTTCTCTTTAATATAATCTGAGAAGGGAGTTGTATACTGCTGGGGAGATACAGGGGTGTGTCTGTCTAGCAATGGTAGGAGAGAGGCCGGGGGCGCTCTTCTCTGTCTTAGTTGCCGTCTTCAGGGTTTTTCCCTATTTATAAAGAATTAAAATAAATATTTTAATATTTAACTCTTTTATTTCTTCCTGTTTTAACATAAAACCCAGCTGTACATACACCTGCACACCGCCGCTCGTTGGGATCCTCTGCTCCCTGCGCCCGCGCCCTCTTGCTCATTTCAGTATTTGTTGCAGTTTTGTGTATTTTCTTTTCTTTTTTCTTTCTTTTATATTTCTTCTTTGTTATTTCTGTCTCTATAGACCCTCTAAGCTGCTGTCTCGCTCGTCTTCTCCGCTGCTCTGCATCCCCTTTCTTCTCTTTTCTGTCTCTCACCAATCCTCTTCTTTTTGGGGGTTTATCTGCTGCTCAGTGCAGCAGAAGAAACATAAACCTCTCCTTCTTTTTTTCTTTTGCAGCAGACAGAGAGGGGGGGCCCCCGCCTCTCCTCCTCAGCCCAGCAGAGGCCCCCCCCTCCCCCCCTCTGAATCGCACTCGATAGGGGCCCCCCTCTGTTCTTCTTCTTCTTCTTTTTGCTGCTGCTGCTGCGTGCTCCTGCTGCTGCTGCTGCTGCTGCTGCCACGCGTTTCTTCTCTTCTTCTGCATACAGGGGGACGATGGCGCCGCAGCCAGACCTCCAGCAAACTGCTGCAGCAGCAGCAGCAGCAGCAACAGCAGCTCTATCGGCTCCTGCAAGGAGCAGCAGCAGCAACAGCAGCAGCAACAGAGACACAACTAGCAGCAGCAACAACAGCAGCATCAGCAGCAACTGTTTGAAAGGAGACAGTATATTAACACCAGATAAATCTGTCTCTGTCTCTGTCTCCTCACCCACAGATTTGGGGGGTATTGGCTTTGCTGCGGATGGCATTGAGGGTGCAGCAGTTCCTTCTGCATGCGAGTCTGCTGCAGCAGCAACAGCAGCAACAGCAGCAGCAGCAGCAGCAGCTGCTGCTGCTGCTGCTGCACCTGCTGCAGCAAGTGTAGGAGACAGTCTCTGTTTAAGCCCCTTTTTAGATCGTTATGCTTTGCCTGGAGGAGACAGCGCATGCAAAGAAGAAAGCCCCAAACCTTCTCCCTCTTGCTGCATGCATGCACAGGGGTCCTTAGATGTTAAAGCAGAAGACGATGGTCTCTTGCCCCCTGCTGCTGCTGCTGCTACCTCTGCTGCTGCTGCTGCTGCTGCTGCTGCTGCTGGTGGTGGTTCTAGGGGTCTACCTGAGGCCCTACCTATTGGAGCAGCAGCAAACAAGGGGCCCCCGGGGGGCCCCCAAAGAGACAGTGCCCTAGCTCTTGCTGCATTGAACTCTCCTACTGCAGCACATGCTGCTAGCTCAACAGCAGCAACAACACCGCTAGCAGCAGAAGCAGCAGACTTGCTGCCTGCTGCACACAGTCCTTCATCAGCACCTCCTGGGGGAGGAACCGAAACAGAACCACCTCCTGTTGCTGCACCTTCTGCTGCTGCTGCTGCTGCTGCTGCTACTCCTCCTCCTCCTGCAGCAGCTGCAGCAGCAGCAGCAGCAGCAGCAGCAGCTCCGACGGGTGCAGCAGCAGAGAACAGCGCGTTGGCGTCTACACAGGCCGTGTTAATAGAGTTGATTCAGAGTCTAGGATCTGGCTGCAACAGCAGCAGCAACAGCAGCAGCAACAGCAGCAACAGCAGCAGCAGCAGTTCTGCTGCTGCAGCAGCATCAATAGCTAAACATATAGATAGAATAAGCAGGGCCTCTTCTTTCTCCGATATAGAAAGCTATATCTCCGCCTTACACAGTTTGCTGCCAGCTGCATGCAGCCAGGGGCCCCTCACCCCCTCTCAGTGTAGCGCTCTATGCTTGGCTCTGAATCTTATATGTCCTAAGGATCCCCCGCAGCAGCAGCAGCAGCAGCAGCAGCAGCAGCCAGCAGCAGCAGCAGCAGCAGCAGNCAGCAGCAGCAGCAGCAGCAGCAGGAGCGGCAACGGCGCCGCTGCTGCACACAACGGAGGGATCTGCGTTTGAAGCACCCAGCAGCAGCAGCAACAGCAGCAGCAGCAAGGGCAGCAGCAACAGCAGCAAGAGCAGCAGCAAGAGCAGCAGCAAGAACATCACCAAGACCAGCAACAGCAGCAGCAGCAGCAGCAACAGCAGCAAGAGTACAAACTGGGAGAATGCATGCATATCTCCTCTTTCTTCTTTTTTTATTTATCCTTCTTCTTCTTTTTCTCAGCTGCAACAAATATGCGGAGACATGCTGGGGGGGTTGTTGTTAATTTATTTATATAATTATAATCTACCCCCGCTGCTGTCTCGTTTTCCTCTTTATATATATCATCACCAGCATATAATGGGGGCCCCGGGGCCCCAGCAGCTGTATATATATTCACATATTATATTTGGAAAATTGCTGCTGCATGCGGTGCATGCATGCCCTCATCTGCTGCTTGCTGCTGCAGCAGAAGGGGCTTTGCTGCTGCCAAGAGATAAGCTGCTGCAGCTGTTGAAGGGTGTGCAGCAGCAAGCTATAGATGATGCTGTTGCTGCGCTGCAGCTTTTGTATGATGCTGCTACCAACACAAATAAAGATATAAATACACACAAAAATATTCACTCTGCTGCTCCTGCTGCTCCACCTGCTGCTGCTGCTGCTGATGATGATCCTGCTGCTGCAGTTGCTGCTGCAGTTGCTGCTGCAGACTCCCCAGCTACCACTGAGGGACCTGCAGCAGCAGCAGCAGCAGCAGCAGCAGCAGCAGCAGCAGCAGGGGGATTGCGGAGCAGCAGACGGATGGGAGAGGAGTGCCGAGGGCTGGTGGTTTCGGAGCCACCAGCAGCAGCAGCAGCAGCAGCAACAGCAGCAGCAGCAGCAGCAGCAGCAGCAGCATCTGTGACAACAACCCCCGTACCTTCTCTTCTATGCAGCCCCACAGTGCGTTCCCTAGAGACAGCATCAGAGACAGAGAGAATGCTGCCTGCTGCTGCTGCTGCTGCTGCTGCTGCTGCTTCTCCTTCTTCTTTATTGATTACAAGGGGACTGCAGCGCAGCAGCGGGGACTTTCTATGTGGCTCTCCTCTCCCCCCCAGTGCTCCCTTTGCTGCTGCCTCTGCTGCTGCTGCTGCTGCTGCTGCTGCTGCTGGATCGAGCGCAGACAAGCAGCAGCAGCTCGCAGCACCCCTCAGCAGCCTCTCTTCTTTTGCTGCAGCAGCAGAAAAAAAAGGAAACGAAGACACAGCATCTGAGCTGCTGCGGGTGTTGGGGGCCCAGGCGATAGCAGACGTTTGCTCTTCTCCGTTGCTGCAGCAGCAGCAGCAACAGCAGCAACAGCAGCAGCAGCAGCAGCAGCAACAGCAGCACATGCTGCAGCAACAGCTGCAGCAACAGCTGCAGCAACAGCAACAGCAAATACAGCAGCAACTGCAGCAGCAATTGCAGCAGCAACTGCAGCAGCAACTCCAAGACAACAGCAGCATAGCGAGACGCTGTGCTTCCTTCCCTCTTGCTGCTCTTATGGATTTTCCTGCTGCTGCTGCTGCCAAGGCTGAAACAGCAGCAGCAGCAGCAACAGCAGCAACAGCAACAACAGCTGCTGCTGCAGCACCGCTGCTGCAACGAAGCTGCAGCAGCAGCTTGTGGGGCTCGGAGTCCGCCTCCCAGGAGTTGTCTGCTGCAGCACTGGATTTGGCTGCTGCTGCTGCCCCTGCTGCTGCTGCTGCTGCTGGTGGTGCACCAGCAGCAGCAGCAGGAACAGCAGCAGCAGCAGCAGCAGCAGGGGGACCCTCCGTGTGCAGCAGCCCCCTCGGGGGGCTGCTGTCTCCTGCTGCTGCTCCTGCTGTCTCCTTTGCTGCTGCNAGCAGCAGCAGCAGCAGCAGCAGCAGCAGCAGCAGCAGCAGCAGCAGCAGGGTGTTCGCTCTACTAAGCGCATGCAGAACAAGACAGGAGGACCTCAAGCAGACCCTGCAACAGCAGCAGCTGCTGCTGCTGCAGCTGCTGC